CAGCATGGGCAGACACTGTGAAACCTGCCTAGCAGTCAGGGAAGATCATATCCCCTATTAAAGACCGGATGTTTCTTGCTGGACACCCATCACAGGGATGTTTAGGCCTTCAGTCGCATTGCGCTCCATGCTACTTTTTCAATAAAGCTTCTTTTTGACCTCTGATTTCTCTTTTAGTAAGTGTTGCTTACATTACTCATGTCCTTACGTATTGGGGATCTTACGGTATTAATGTGTTGATTTGGAAAGCTTTTGTACAAAGTTATATTGAAAAAACCGTCTCGTCCTTAATTTTTGCACACCAGTGTATGCTGTAATTAAGTTTACTAACTAGTAAAAATTTATACTGATTTTTTAACATGGCATATTGACCTTTCATTTTACACAGCTTCAAAAAATTTTATTTAATATATTAATTGACCATTTTGTAAACCTGATGCACCTTCCCCTTGTCCATTGTTCTGCTTGAAATTTTGTGTTAATTAAATGCGCTTTATTTGCAGTTTACATGGGAAAAGAAAATGCCATTTATATTTCAAATAGTAGGCTATAATGTCTTGAAGCTCATAGCTCCTCATTACAAATTTGGAAAAATGCACGATCAGAAATAATGGAAACATAGAAATACGAAGCTTGAACCAAATGAGCAATAAAATAACCTAGCACTTCCAATTTTGCATACTTTATGATGCTTTTGGAGCAGATTTTGCTCCATAGCGCAAGTACGCTTGTTGCTACTATTCAGTAAACAACCCTTGCAAGAACTCAGAATTTTCACGATTTTATGTTTTTTTAAGTAAATGTTTCACAAATTCATTTACAATGAGTTTTAAGAAAGTTAATATGGAAAGTCAGCCAATGAAGAAACAGTTAGAACTACCATGGAAGTGTAAAAAAGAGACTTTGAAAAATATGAAGATGGCATGCATATCCAGTACTTGACTTTCCATATACTTCACTTTGAAATTGATAACCAAACAAGGATCAGAGACATTACAGTACTTTGAGTAATTGCTTTTGATCTGGATAATAAAAAACAGTGTGCTGGAAATAGCATATCAGAGGCAATAATTTGCGTAACGGCAAAACTAATACACGCAAATACTGTGAAAAATAAGGCAGGAACGAGTAAAGAAGTGAAGCCAACCTTGGCAAGCGCTTACTTCAACTGTGATCCTCTTATCGCACCAATAAAAATTCAGAGAATGGTCTTTTTCCTGCCAATTTTTTTAGTCTTTACTTTAATTCAACCTCTTTCTTTATTTTAACTCCAGACCATGTGGATATATTCTGTTGTATTGATATGTGAGAGGAAATTCTTGAACATATTTATTCAGACGCATGGAAATAGTTTGCATAAGATTAGATTGACAAGTGTCAATTTAGCAAATTCGTTTCTTTAAAAAAAGAAACCTGAGGAATTTAATTATTTTTGATAATTTTAATTAAAAGTTTCCTTAAAAATGCTGCATTATCATTATAGATTTTTCTAATTCTAACTGTTTTATTACTTTTTCTGTTGGCAATGATTTTCCTTGAAAATATCCGAGTGCCAATTAATTAGTTTAATGCTTTTAAAATTGAAGTCTTCTTTTGTTAAAAATCTAAATTTTGAACTTTTTGGTTATTGATTTAGAGGACTCTGTTTCTATTTCTTTACCACTTTGACTGACACGACTTTTTTGATTTGCTTAGGAAGATGGCTAACAGATGCTGTTTTAAACAGCTTCCATTAGTTAAATTCTTATAATTACTTATTTTAGTCTGTTTTCATAAACTTCCATTCATTAAGATGATAGTTACATTATTTAAAAAAAAAGTAAGAAAGCAAAAATATTTTTAATTGTAATCTAATATATACCATGTGATAAAAAATCTCATGATTGGATAAGGCAGTCATGCCACTCATGGGGTCAAAATTAGTTCTATTTAATTGAATGCAATTAGGATAAATATGTTATTTCTCAATTTTGTTGCTGTTAATGGCAATAATGTCATCAATAAACCTACAGGCAAATTTAAAAACTTCAGGACCATGAAATTTTTAGTACTGTCGAAATTATATTCCCAACCGTGACAAGAATTACTGAGCAAAGTGTTATGTTGCCAAAGTAGGTGACCTAGAATTTTACAAAAATATATTTTATATGGCAACCCACTAAATGCACGCAATGCTGTTTCTGCTTATAATTAGCATAGTAAATACCGTCTGGATTAATGATTGAAGCAACACAAGGTTGTTGCTTTAGTAATTTTATTGTCTGGATTGATTTACATTATTATTGTTAAAGTAATAAAATGCATATAAAATTATGCATTTGAGTAGCTTTGATTTATCTCTGATTTTAGATTATTATAGAAATCTTGCAGCTTGAAAGTAGGTTATGAAATGTTTGGTACTGCTCTGTTATTAGAACTGGATCCAGAAATGTATGTACGTATGGTGTATATGTATTGATGTATGTGTTCATGCATGCACGTATATTTGTAAGCAAGAATATATCTGTGTGTATACATATATGCACATACAAACACATTTCTGAATCTGGTCCTGATAACAGAACAGTACCAAATGTTCTTAGGTGATTGTGATAATCGTTTTCTCCTAATAAGTGCAGTTCTCTGGTATTTTTTTTTAATTAAATCAGTTGATGTGTACATGGAGAGCAGTACCAGTTTGATCTGCAATGCCAAGAATTCTGAAATTCCCCAAATATTTGCAAGTTAAAACAAATCACTGTGCACAAAGACAGAAGACCTAGAAAACGGAAAGTGTTTTATTATGGGTGTTTGCTGTGTTTTTAATTTAGTTAATTTGTCACTGTTTTATAAAATCTTGAGTGTTTCATTATGGATGTTTGCTTTACATAATTTTTACTTTTCATTACATATGTTTCTTGTGTTTTTAATTTCATTAATTCATTGCTGTTTTATGCAATTTTCAGCGTGCCACCATTTTTTAAATGGTTAGTGTTTCATGAGTTAAGTTGGCAAAAAATTAGTTGCCAGCAAATGGTGACTTTGCAGGACCACTGTGCTGATAATGCGAAAGTACCAAATTTTTTTCATAAAACTAAATTCTTTACCAAAGATGGAGAGACTACAAATAGCTATAGAATAGTTAGTACCCACTGGAACTTGTTATTAAAATTTATCTTGAAATTTAATATAATTATGAGAAAACATTTATTTAAATAGAACATGTCATATTACAGTTCAATAGTTTCATTTATGTTTGGAAAAAGACTATATAGTTCAACGAGACTGCTGTAAACTTCATACAGATGTAACATAGTGTATTAATTTTTAAGTCTTAACAGTTGATAATCCTGATGTGAATTTCAGAAATGGTTTTAATGACTTTTGGATCATTTGAGATAATCCAATTGTTATGAATAGTTTTATTAGTGCAATTAACAACACTCTGATAGACTTCTCTAAGAATGGTGGTAAAATCTGAATGTTACTTAGTTGAAGTTTTCCTCGAGACACCAACCCCCAATGGTAATGTTATAAAGAAAAGAAAAATAATTCAATTTTTTAAAAAATTTTATTTCTTTAACTTTTGTGAATTTATGGAATGGTTGTTTGCACTGATCAAATTTCACTTTTGTTTCACTTTGCTGTGTCTTAATTTCTTTTTTAATTCGCTATCAATATCAGTTTAGGTTTTAACATAAATTATTTTACTTTCTAATTTTTTATTTATAATTTATTTATATCAATTTTATGCAGTGATTGTTTTACACTATTTTGAGCAAATTTCTTTTTTTCTTTTTTCTTTTTGTTGTTGTTGTTGTATTTTGCTGTATCTAAATATGATTTTTTAATTTTACACTTAAATTATACATACATATGTGTGTATGCACGTTTATGTTTTGATTTAGGTACAGTTTTATATTTTTGCCTTGCCCCCATCATTTTGTTTTTTCATACAATAATAAGTAAATGCAAGAGAAAAATCATTGCACTTGTACTATACCATTTTTGCGTAACACAGGGGAGCCTACTGCGATATCGAAGGGCCCGGGTTCAAATCCTGGAGAAGGTAAGGCTGTAGTTGTCCGTCCCTTCATAGGTGGTAATGATGGCTCACATACTAGGTGCTTCCACATTAAAGTGACCACCACTTCAAGCCTTAATAGTGGCCAAGCCTAAGTCAGCCAAGTGCCTGCTATTGGAGGGGGGGGGAATATAATCTTATTTTCATTGTTACTTTGATTTTCATTCTTTCAAATAACTTCCTGCAAACTTCAAGACACCTTATGTAGGTTATGTAGGTTCATGAATTTTTTTTTTTTTAAATAAGTGAAAAAAAGAAAAGGAAAAAATTCAAACAGATAGATAATTTTCTTGAAAAAAAAATCTGTATAAGGTTTTACAAAATATATTGATGTATATATGTTACGGTGAAACACCAAAATCTGGAGAATGACAGCATTCACATGGTCATTTGGTGTATATCTGAAATATTTTCCAAATACTCTTATTTCTAACTTACACCGGTAAATGTCAACATTCACCCCATGTACTAATAGTGAATGTTGAACATATAAGAATATTATAGTTTCTTCTCTGTAATTCAGTCGTGAAAAAACGCACTTGAGACTTAAAATAAGAACGTAAGAACTAAAAACACACGGTACATTCAAAATGAGAAAGGAAAATAATAGAAGTTAAAAACTTATTTAATTATACAGTACGTTCTAAATGAGAAAATAAAATAATAGTAATAACAAACTTACAAAATTATGTGATTCAAATCTTATTTATTGCAACAATTTAAACTATTATGACGCTTTATGGCCTCTCTTTTCGACCTACACCAGAGCATATCTGTGATTGTCGACATACACCAATGAGGATCCGAATGTACAAGAATGTAATGCAATATTCGATCTTTCACTGACATATTTGGTGAATGTTGACATTCTCCAATTTTGGTTTCTCACGGTAACATATACATAAAAACATAATTTTTCATATATATAAATACATACCTTAAATTTCTTTTAGGATTTAAAAATGATTCTATATCATAAGGGTCAAAATCCTTAACAATTTCTAGCCAGCTAGATGGAAGTCGGTTCCAAAGTGTATCAACAAAATAATCCTGTAAAAAAAAAGAGAAAGGAAAGAGGGAAGAAAGAGAAAAAGAAAAAAACAAAACAAAAAAAATATGCAAATTGACAAATACTCTAAAGATAGCATGACTTAGCAAACATATTCACGCATTAAAGTACTACTAAAAATTTCTTTGACGAAATCTTTATTCACCAAATGCCTCCTAAAAATATTCACAAATTGCTTTCAGCATGCTTATTAAGAGATAACAATGTTACGACATACTCAGCTTGGTGCAAAAGTTTTGCAACACTTTTTGAACACATGTACAATGGACATGTGATCATATAAGATGAACTGTGGATCAATGGCAAAAAGTTATCTGGAATGATCAAACACCACTTTTTTAATGCCTAATAATTTGATTAAGGATTATTTGGATTATAGCAAAGCATTATTTGGATTACAGCGAAACATATTACTGCAGTTATGGCATAAGGTTGTATTGGATTGACTTCATTGTAGAAGGAAAAAGGAATATGGCTCATTATAGTAATATAATGGGGGGACCACTTTTAACACGTTTCAAATTACTTTAGTTATCAACATACACATTTCAAAATAATTTACATTTTTCATTCAAAACCTGTAGCAGCTTTCCCAATCACCAGATCAAAATTCAACTGAAAATATTTAGACTAATTGAAAGAGGAAGTTACTTTAAGCAGAATCAACTGAAGCTGTAATTTCATGTGATATCATCCAATTCCAATGCACAACACTGAGAAAATTGTGAATAGGATACCAAATGATGTGCATTAATAATTGAAAACAGAAATTTTATGCAACATGTTTAAAAGTTACTAATTCATGTAAAATGTTTGATAGTTCGTAATTTTGCCATAGCATTTTCGTTTAAATCTCACCAGTCGCTGAGCAGTAAATGAGTGCATAATAATAGTAGTTCATCCCAGGTTCAAATCCAGACAAACAGCTAACTACATGGTTGGTTTTTGTGATTTTTTTCCATATGTAATGTGATTATGAGTTAGTTTCCCTTAGAAAGTCCTCCAGGAAGGCATCCTGCCCCCTTAGGCAGACAGCCCTCATGTGCTCTGCCATATTTAAATAGCCTAACTCAGGGATGGGCAAACTACAGCCTGCCGGCAGGTTCTACCCGGCCTGCAAATTGAATTTTAATTTGCCTTGGATTGGCAAAATTGCAAATTAAAAGAAATATATATTTATATATTATATATCCATCTCGTTTTCTACTTTATTTAAATATTATTTTTTTCTTCCTTTTTTTCAATGGACTGATGCTCTTTTTACTTTCTCTATTTTTGTTCTACAAAACATAAATTGACGGAAATAGCAAGCACAGACAGCTTTCAATCAGTAAAGTGTTTAAAGCGGAAAGTTCTTTGTTATAGCTATAGATTGGCGCCAACAAGTGTTATCTCTTTTTCAGGGAGCAGACACATGGAATCCAATGTAGGTGAATTAGACATCTTAAGGAAAAAACTTAATTATCTTATCTTAATTAAACTTAATCTATTTGCTGGGCAGCTAGTGAAGAACAACTTGTTTCATTTCCCAAGGTTAAATTCAATACCCTCAGTAAGTGAAGAGAAGCTTAAAAATTATGAAGATGGCTTGAAAAACTGCATTTTGAGTTCGAACGAAGATTTCAGTGCCATTCAAACAGAATTGGATATTTTTACAATGCCTTTCAATGTAACTGTGAAGCAGTGAGGTCAGGTTTGCAGCTTGAATTAACTGAGTTCCAATCTAGCAATCATCTCAAGCAGTTGTTTTAAATATGCCAAAGTTAGAATTTTACAAATCATTATCGAAAGTAAGTTTCCTAAATTTAATATCTCACGCCCAGAAAATCAGTGCTATGTTTGCTTTATCTTATATATGTGAACAAGTGGTTTCAACTACAAACCTTAGAAAGAATTATTTTACAAGTAGACTGACAGATGAGCATTTAGCCTCGTTCCTTAGAATCAGTACATCTCACTTTGAACCTCAATATAAGGAACTTTTAAAAATGAAATCGCAAGTTCATTCATCTCATTAATATATTTAAATTGTAATACAGTCAAATACTAAAAATCTGCCAACTCCTAAAACCTGCATTGCCTCTCAAAATATAAACATTTAGTTTATAGGTTCCGGAAACCGCAATACGGAGCATGAAATATCGAAGAAAAAATACTTACTGGATAATGATGCCATAATTACTGAATAATAATGAGTCATAATGGAAATACCAAATTATTGACATCATGATAAGAGTTTTTTCCCCTCCAATCTGCATCGAGGTAAAAAAGCAGACGATTAACTTAACTCTTCTTTCAAGTTTAAGCTTCACGCTGTTGTACTTTCTGAGCTTCGTTATTTCACGAGATTGTTTAGCGATGTTGTTTTTTTTTATCCAAACATTTTGTGGATAAATAAAGAATATTTTAAATTTCAGCGTTTTTTAATACAATGACAGGTAAGAAACGCACTCGTGATTTTACTGCTTGCAACGTTGAAAAACGTAAACACGTTGCATTGATGGTAATGAAAAAAAGTGGAAATTCTGCTAAAGATGGTGGCAGGTGCTACTGCTTGGTTTATAGCAGAATCGTATGGAATTGCCACACGGACTATGTATGATATACGGAACAATAAAGAAAAGCTGTTGAAATTCTACAGCAACAGTGATTCTAACACCGGAATCTGAAACCGGAAGTCTTTACATGAGGCGAAATTAGCAAACCTCGATGCTGTCTTGTACAAGTGGTTCCGGCAGCGGCGGAGTTATGGGGGTACCTATTTCAGGACTACTTCTGAGAGAAAAGGGGAAGCAGATTCATGCTAATTTAAAAATAGAGGAGCCTAATGTAAATGAACAATATAATCAGTTTATATATGTAATAATAATTTAATGCATATAATTAGTTATTGTATTAATGTATATAAAAATTTAATTAAATGTATCTAATACGCCTTATTTATTTTGCACTTTTATTCTGAATATTATCTTTTCTCTCCTGAAATCCACAAAAATCTTAAAATCCGCACAACCTCTGGTCCCAAGCATTGCGGATTTTTGGACTTCTATTGTACTTGTATATTGTTTTGAGAATTTTAGAAAAATTTATCTTGGCCCGCCAAACTTTTTTTTTTTTTTTTTTTTTTTTTACCTGCAACCGAAAAAGTTCACCCATCCCTGGTTTACCCATTTTCTTTTGAATTTAAAATTTATTTGTTGTTAAGAGGAAATTTTTTAAAAAATGTTTTTATTAGCTTTACAGTTTCCTTCCATTTTCTAATGCATAATATATGTGTTACTGTTAATTTAAATCTCAAAAATCTCTATAAAATGACTTTTATATTGATACATTATTTTTAACATTAGCATTTAAATTGATTTTTAAAATGTCATCAGATGCATAAAATGTATGCTTTCATGGAATATTGCAGAATTTTTGCACCAATCTGTAAGATTACCTCCCTCTGGATCTACAGCGGAAAAAAAGGGAAAGTTTCTTTTCTTACTTGGATAAGCACTAAAAAAAGCAACAGGGAAGAAGCCTGATTAACCAAATAAAAAATATTATGAATAAATTTCTAGCTATATCCTATACCTGATCATTTACATGATTTCATTGGCAGTCTCTTTTTAAAAATTTTAACTTTCATACCATGCTGTTGCTAATCCCAGTGTCTCATGAATAAGCATTAGCAGATAAATTTGGGATCATCCTCCATGTCCACAAAATAACTTTGCCCAGTTCCAAGGACAGCACAAATGCTGGTGCAACCAGGTTGCCACGGTAGGCAGGAGAATTTAGGGGCAGCAAAACTCATGAATGATCCAGGCAACAGATGTTATGAGTTGCATGACCCATCAAAATAGCTCACCACTAAACAGCCATAGGCTAAATGGCCCCCAACAAGATAACCTCGATAAAATAACCCCAAAGTAATAGCTAAGTCTAGTTATAAAATTAATTATATTAAAATATATTAGTAAATATCAGTAAAAAATGAATTTTGACACATGAAAATATTTATTAAAAAATACATTTTAAAAATTGTATATGGTCATATGAATAAATTCTAAATTCGGTTTGGCAGTTCTCTACAAGCTTTTGAGGTTTCTGTTCCTTATCACATTTTTTCAAAATTATATTTCACATGTTTGTTTCATCTGGGATGCTTATGACGAAAGGTGCAAGAACTGAATTTGGCAGAAGCTTATGTAAATAATGAAAATGTGCTTGTTTATATAAAAATATTGTTAGCATTCAGTTTTATACCAGTGCATGATGTTATCAGAGTATTTGAAGAATTAATTGAAAATTGCCCAAACGAACTAGACCCCATTAGAAATTACTGGAAAGATACATATATAGGACAAGTAAGATACAACTGCCAAGCACAACCCTGATTTGCAATACATGAGTGAAATGTTCATGAGTACGTCATCATCAGAGGACATATAATTCGGAGAAGAGTAGCATAAGGCATTCCAGCAAACTGTAGATTGCTATCATCCACCCCTCTACAAACTCATTGAACATTTCCATTATTAAAAATAAATATTTTCAACTGTCAATATTCCTTTTTTTTTACTAATATTTAATAATACAATTTAATGTAAGTAATTTTATATAATTTTATAATTAGGCTTAGAAAATAATCTGGGGCTGTTTTGTCGAGGTTATCTTGTTAGGGCTGGTTAGTCTATATTTAAGGATGCACCTTAGATTATCACGAAGTTATTGTCTCATTTATCGCGAAGTTGTTATTTCATTTATCGCCAAGTTGTTGTTTCCTTTATGGTAACCTGATTAGTTGAATGTTATGGAAACCCTATTATGATGTAATTGATTGTGTGATTGTGATGAATTTGACCGATGGGAAAATATTTGTTGGATGTCAGTTAGGAAGTACATCACGTATTGTGTGCTGTGCATCGTAAAATGCTGCCGGTGGTAAAGTGGGTGTTTGGTTGTATAGAACGAGAAACCGAAAGGTTTTTTTTTTTTTTTTTTTTCCCCCTAAGTGGTTGAGGACAGAAGAAAAGAAGCTTTGCTGGATGTAATTCAATGGAATTATAACCATCCTGTTTGTACAAAGAAAATGTAATGTAAGTTCAATGTAAGTTGTTAAAGTTGCTTTGTTTTTTGTGCTTATACTTTTCTCTTTAATTCTATAAACAGACATAATTTCTTGTTCAGTTAGAAAGTTCCACTGTTGAAGTCATGTAATTGCTGTGTTGAGAATACCGACTAACTAGTCAATCGAAATTTTTTCGTTCTCAATAACCTGTCACTTTCTTCACTATCGGAAGTGCGCATGGGTAAACGCTTTACACGCATGCATAAGTTTGTGGCTTTGAGGTCCGGATTATAGATCATTCTGGATAACAGACGTCCAAATTACGGACTTTGTACTGTACCACTAAAATCACCAATTTTCGCCAAGAGGCACCCGTAAATATATTTTTACCGTCAGGACCATTTAGTTTGGGGCTATTTAGTCTCTGGCTATTTTGTTGGGGATGGTTGATTTAGTTGTTTGCTATTTTGACAGGGTATCTATAAATTGATAACACCTGCCATTAACTGATGCTTTAAGCATTCGGTCTTCAGAATAGTTTAAATGTCTTTATAAACAACCGTCAGGACCATTATATATTACCATATATTTACCATTATATAACCATATATATACCATTATATAACCATATATTTTTACCATCAGGACCATTTAGTTTGGGGCTATTTAGTCTCTGGCTATTTTGTTGGGGATGGTTGATTTAGTTGTTTGCTATTTTGACAGGGTATCTATAAATTGATAACACCTGCCATTAACTGATGCTTTAAGCATTCGGTCTTCAGAATAGTTTAAATGTCTTTATAAACAACAAGTGCAGTACTGAAGTTTTAGGCCTAACAATTTGAAGGCATATGCCTATTAATTCTTATTGTAAAATATTTTATTATAAATGTAAATAAATAATATATTTATGTGTTAACACCAGAATCATCATTTATGTGAATACCAGAGGTAATCTGGATTTATACATCACACTAAAATAAAAGAGAACAGTACTATCATTACAGCAGAATTTTGGAGTTGCAAAGTTTGCACAATGCAACATAAAGGCTACAACCGACTCTGCACAGCTGCATCCCAATACTGGTTGAAAACACCATAGGGAAGAGTCTGTGAGTATTGCATCTATCAATCCTACCACTAGTCCCTTAAGGCAGCTTTTAGACCAACAGTATTTTAAATGCCCTTATTTCATGAAAACGTATCCATACCTTCCCTATAATTTGTTCATTAGGCTCATCTGATCAGCAGCTGTAGCCACTAACTATGACATTGATTGGGCAGTAGTGGTTAACTAAAAGCTTTGGGCTACTATGCAAGATATTTTTCGGGCCTTCCTAATTTACAGCATTCTAAGAAAAAAGAAAACAAAATCAAAGACAAGAGTCAGTTTTTTGAATAATTATGTCTTTTGGGTAGGGTAATTTGGGTAAACTGGGATGTAGATTTTTTTTTAGATCAATAAAATATAACAATAAGACTGATAATGAGGCTGTAGAGGTATAAATTTCTAATTCCAGTACCCACAACAATGTCACATATAAACATCTCAGTACTGAGTTTCTTAATAACATCATGCACCAGTTTGTGACCAGCAATAATTCGTCAATGACATGAAACCACTAGTCCCAAGAAGAATCAAAACATATAAAACTTGATTCATTTCTTAATCAAATTCACTTTCAACTGCCGTTTCAGTGTGCATAGCATAGTGTAACAATTCTTTCTTTGTTTAGTTCCAAGAGCCCCTATTCTACATCACATATTTGTTTAATATAGATAAAAACCACAATATATTTCTATTTTTGTTTTTCAATTTAAAGTGAGCAGAACATCTACGGGCCCCTAGTTAGTTATTCAGGCTTTTATGTGTAGGCATACTTTGCATAGCCCTACTTAAGCCACTACTGGGCAGCCAATAATATCAAAAAAATACTGATCAATCAAGATATAAAACTATAACTAAACTTTTAATTTACAAAAAACTAAATAAATATAAATAATTTTTATTTCAAATACTTATTAATCTAATATAAACAATAAAAATGAAACAAATTTTTTTATATCATTCTATAAAGCATTTAATTTCCTTGCATATAATTTTTCTAAATCAAATTAAAAAAATCTTTATTAAAAACAACCATTCTAAAATAACATTAAATATAAAAATCTCTATAATATAACTATGGAATTTGATTATGAGAAAAATGGCATAATAATGTGCATATTCAAATAATCCCAACAAAAGCACTGACTGAAATCTGTTAAGTGTGTTTAAAAAAAAAAAAACTTATAACAATTCCATACGCATATTACTAATCCCAATAAAAATATAGAAAATTCTACAAAAGTTTCACTACTACTACATAAAAAAGGCATAGCAAAAGAATGAGCAAATTCTATGAACCTGTGCTATTCATAACAGCAACTACAGCAGAATAGGAACCAGAAAGAAGTATTATAACAATCTGTACTTCATGCATAGTTTTTAAATATTAAACAATTAATATGTTTTAATTTTTTTCCGGGCACTTATTTTAATCTAAACAAATATAAACTTTAAACTGAACTTTTCAGCCGTTGACAATGAAATTCAAAAACATAATGGTTTGAAAATAAAGTAAAAAACATAAAAGCACATTGTCCCAAATTCATCACTACTTGTGACCAAATACTGGTTCCAAATGAAATGAGAACTCAAAGTCAGTAAATATTTTTCTTAAATTTCTGAATATGCTTGTATTTTCTTTTCATTTATTTACACTAATAATATGGCAAAGCTTGCCTTTGATAGTGTGCGTGAATAACTTTAAACATTTTAACAACTGATACAGCCATATTAGCTGAAGAATACCACTGGACACTTTTACCACAATTCACCACAAAATAAAGAAATTTTCAAAAGATATTTATCGCCATCTTAGTTTTCTGACCCCAAATGGTTTAGAATCTGTTTCCAGCCTCCATGCACAATAATATAAAGATAATAGAACATTAAGGTACTTATAAATTGTTAATTTACACACATTTATTAAATACTGTAATTCTAATAAATTAAGGGCATATTATACTCCAATCAAAATCATATTTCAGAAATACTTGGTTTTAGCATTTTCGGTGCTCTAGTTGATCAGTACATTTGATGCTCCATATAAACTAAACATATTAACAATTTAAAATAAAATATGCCTTAATGAGTTATCTTTTATGTAGCTATTGCTAACGAGAACCTAGAAGTTGCCTATGGCTACAGTCAATCTCAGCTGAAGGCCATTATCCAAGAATACAGATGGACAGGGCAGTTCCTAGTGGGAGTGCAGTGTGTAAAAGTATATGCAGGCAGCCAGACTCTCGCGATACCATGCCTAAATATTTTAAATTCATTAAATTCATTGTAAGTGCTTGTCATATGTAAGTACTTTTCATACAGTTTGTCATATGTAAGTACTTAGTGAATACGAAATAAAAATTTTATTAAACATTGAACTTTTTTTTTTTTTTTTTAATTTGGGAGCGGCAATTTCGGGAAAGTTCACAGGCAGCCAATGGCCTAGAATGGCCCTGTGGATAGGCTGTGATTTCTGAAGCTTTAACAACAATCTTAGAAGTACATAATGACTTGGTCAATTAATATTTCAAAGACATAATTCTAATGTTCTCTAGAGAAAGGATGATTGGCAGATAAACACTCCTTGATGCATAAAGAAAAAATAAATCGATTCAGTTTTACAAACATGAACTATGCAGACATAGAAAAACTAATTTTACCAACAACAATGATGAATTTTAAAAAACAGATTTCCAGTGTTATGGGTGGTTCTGATAATGATTTAATCAAGCAAGATTCTCAAAATGAAGATGTTAATAAGCACGTGACCTCAAACTAAGAGAGTGATGCATAAGACCATGTTAAGAACTCATTAATGTTTTGATAAGACAGTTAATAGCAAAGTTTATCATCCCCTTTACTGATTTGTCTGATTATTACTTTTTCCCTGCAAAGAAGATCTGACTTTGAACATCTATATTTTAAAACACATCTATCTTATAAAATCATGACTTCTAATCATGAATACGGAATCCGTCATGTACGGTATCCGTATTAGTAAAAGAACTTCGAAAAAAATTCCCGTATGTTTCGCCTCTCTGCTCTTGTTTAGTATAAAATGAGAAAACAAATGGAAGAAATACACGCTAAACACGGTCAACGATAATTCTGTAGAATTAATATGAAAAATCTAAGCACTCGATGTTAAAGTAAAAAATTTCGAAACTTCAAAATGGCAAGTTTTATTCGTTTATTTTTCATAAAAAGGTTATAATTCTTTGATGTTTCATAGTATAGATTTCTGAGTTCCAAAATAACAAAATATACGTAAATAAGAATACAATATGTTTTTAAGTACCAAAATATAAGCTTCCGTCAAAAACGACGACTCACGAAGAAACACGGTCAATAAATGAGCATGTCTTTTTATATCGTCCACGGTTTTGTCATTACAGACTAAAATACCTTTGATGTCATTTCCGTTACGATAAAAATTCATTTCCCCTTAAATGAAATCAAGTGCATAAACGTACAGACTACAACTTCTTTATGCAAAAGTGATTTACCCTAATTCCCGCTGAACTTTCAAACACGGAACGGAATACAAACAACAGACACGGACAAAGTCGACAGATGTCTTGTTTTGCAACCGCTGAGTCTTTCTACCCGCAGAGAGAAAAATCAAGCTTAAGTGCGAAGAAAGCCAAGTTAAAAAAAAAAAAGCCAAAATAAGGCCTAGACTACGTTCAAAAACTATTTATGAAACTAAATAAGATACATATGAAAGAGGTGCGTGAAGTAACGTAACTAAGAATGTATCCTAATGCTAGAAAAAAAAGGTGACAGTGTTAAAATACTTCGTATCAAGGTATTTAGCATGGAATACAAAGTAATATGTATGCTTGCATTCTGAGACACAACAGCAAAAGACCTATAACATCAGACAAAAGTATATATTAATTTAACTAAAGTAACTTATGCTATTTTCGTTCCCAACATTTTCATACGTTTTTCAAAAAACAGCAGCAAACAAAGAACACAGAACCATGCACAATACAAGACCACAACCGCACACACACAAAAAAAAGTATATATGTTGCGTATGTGTAAATTACAGAGTATATGTATTAAAAAGATAAATTAAACATAGTATTTATAATTTAACTATCATAATTTATTACAAGTTTAATCATTTTACTATCATAATTTATTACAATTAATGCTAGTTTAACACATTGAGGCACACTGTCATTTATATAAGCTCATAGTTCTAAGAATTTATTTAAGGCAATGAAGAATAATCCATCCCTTACATTTGAACATGTAACAGATGGCAAGGAACAGTATCAGAAAAAAAAATTGGTGAGGTATAATATTATTTAAAGTCGAAAATATACTTAAGCGATCTAAAAAGAAAGGGAAACCAAAAGATCCGAGAGGGAAGTAGCGCTATGCTCCAAATCCCCAATTTTCCCTCTCACGAGATTCTTCAAAACAAGATAAGGGGGGCTTTGTAGGTGGTGACAGATATGAACTGATAACGTTGGCGTCTGGAACCACAAAGGAAGCCACAAGCAATGAGCAATTTCAAATATTGTTTAATGCTAAAATTGATGAAAAATTAAAATTTATTGATTTAAAGGCACTTATTTATAGAAATTTGATTTAGTTTAGATGAAAGAAGGGTACTTATCTTAAAATTCCAGGCTTTCGTAGTATATCCTCACATTGTCCGCTGTTTCATTCTCATCAACATCGGAGCTGAAAGTCTTTGGAAAAGATGTAGGTTTTGTAGAAAAAACACTATTTCAAAGTAATTTAATTGATAATCAAGGGGAAAGGAATGTTTTTCATTTTTTACAGAGCGCTGCGAACTTGCAACCGTTTGCCTCGGTGATCGCAGCGCCATCCATCAAACTTTAGAATACGCACAAATAAATCAAAAGAAATCTGAAAATTACCACACTTGGTCTAAAAAAATTAATATACACTATTACAGTTATTTAGCAGTGAACAAACAATTATTCCATTCTTCTTTCTTAAGTTAAATTAATTTTCATCAATTCCTGATCTATCGCCAGGCCACTGAAATGCAACTTTCAAATCGAATGTATTGACTGGTGCAGCCATCTAGTAGCACTAGTCTAAGTTAATATTTATGTGTCAATAGTTCTTTGTAATCTTCACAATCTCTAATAAAATGCTACATATTTATTACTATAGTTTGAGGTGGTTGTACTTAAATTTTTAGATATGTTGACTTCTAAGAGTTGTTCTATCCCCCCCCCAAAAGGTAAATAAAATGAAAATTAAGAACACTTCCAAGTTGCTGTAGTTGAAAGATTAAGAGGTTACATTAGGAATTCATTTTCTGACAGGGTGTCAGCTAACAGTTTTAATTTATTCAGAAATATAAAAGACAAAAATCTCTAGAAAATCGCCAAATTATAATTCAAAACAGCTTTCAATGAGAAATACGTTTAAACTTTCATAATAAGCTCAGTCTAAAGTAAAGAATAAAATATCTTTTAGCCAAGTTTTCATTGTGCTTAACTGCTTTAATATTCCTAAACTAAAAAAGGATCTAAAGGAAAAACTAAAAAAGAAATAAAATAAAATTCAAGTGTTTTTAATTAAAAAGTTAATAGTTTTAATAATGAAACATAATTAAATTTAATCTCAGCCATATTACCTTAGAAATAGCATGTGAGAAACTCCACAGTGATATTTTTAATTTTCACATACACATACCAAAGTTAAATAAGTAAATACCGTATTTGACGGCATATAAGACGCAACCTTATTTAGACGGCCACACACAAGGAAAAATTTTTAATGGCGTGGTTTCTTTTAGTTCTCACGTTTCGTAAAAGCCAAATAAACAGTTATTGAATGCAATTACCTTCAAGTATAAGACTGTGTCCTTCCCGTATAAGACGCAGGTAACGTTTTTGAAGCCAAATTTACGAAAAAAAGTGCGTCTTATATGCCGTCAAATACGGTAAATAATGAAATGCACTTTCAGATTTATCATCGAAACGTTATAGTTAATCACTTAGTCAGAGAGTAAAAAAATTTGCTTTCAATCTAATAAATTAAACAAATAAAGTAGTGATAAAATATACCAAGAGACATATTTGAAACATTAAAATTCAGATCTGAATACTCCATTTATTATAAATAAAATTATAAATACACGGTTTAGTAATAAAAAAGAATAAGTCCCTTTTGATTATATGCGTTTTTATCAGCGTAGGCTTATATCTATGTGGGCTTTCATCAATGTGCGCTTTCATCGCTGTGGGCATTTGTCGCGTGGGCAATCACAGTGGGGTTTTGTCGAGTGCGCTTTCGCCCTAAGGAGGTTCTAACTTCTAACCTCCTTGTTTCGTCCAGTGGATTTTTGTCTGGGAACCATAAGATTATACTGACTCATGCTGCCATCTAGTGGCCGAGACACATACTACAGTACATCTTTTAATAGTCCCGACATGGAATACAAGGCAATATTCTTGCTTCCACCTTGAAACTCAATAGCAAAAAATAAACACAACATCAGACAAAAATAGATAAGCAAATTTTCATAAATTTTTCAGAACACAGCAGCAGAAAAAAACAGATATCCACACACAGTTCAAGGACACATCTCCAAAAATAAAGATATATATAGAGAGAGAGAGCCATGCACAGCTGCGATCAACGGAAATAGCATTTAGAATGCACAATGAAGCTTCAGGTAAAAGTACTAAATAATTGAATTAAATTACCAACATTATGAAATAATTCCATTGTCCTAAATAACTGAATAGCCACAGAGATCCCTTAGAGTTCAGGGCTTAATTTCTAAAATTAGAAGAGCCGGAGCCCTACCGTAGACCCTCAGGAAAGAGGAACAAGAAGAAATAAATAAATAAAGTGATTAATAATTAAAGAAATATATTAAAATTTATTTCTTTAGTGATTTTAAATATAATTTAATCTAATAAATATATTATATATTAGATTTTTAGTCCAAAGGGGCTTTGTTCCTGAGGGACTATTGTTTTCGTTTTGCGATTTTGCGTCGAATCACTCTGAATGTTCGTTTCACTTTTCGAACTGTTGCTACCAAATATTATCGCCCTGTATTATATTTGAAGAAATTAAGTAATGAAGAATCTGTATAAATGTTTGTACGAGTATAATAACGACGGAATTAGGTTTACTAGAAGTCTCTTCGAAGAGTATTTCAGGAAGTAATGATATACCATCTAAAATCAGCAGGCTAGAATCGAGTCTGTAATTAAGAGTCTTCGTTTCTAACGCACAGAAGAACAACTTCAGAAACATCAGGATTCTGTTATGTGCGTAGCGAAGTGTTCATCCAAGATAGATCAGTCGGAAATTTAAAGGAAATGCATGTTATACTTCCGTTACGTCTCTAATTAAATCTAATAGTTGAAGGAAATAAGTATTTCCAGGAACTCTATAATAAAGAAATAAGAAAACAGGTATCACCAGTAGATTCCGATAATTCCGTCTGAATCATCCGAAGGACGCATTGATGTGAATGAACTAATAAGTATGCAATTATTTATTACTTTTACTAACAACTTATTTTTTTTTCAGTTTTTCCTCATATCTTCACTTACTCATTCTATAACTCTCTGCTACTATGTATTCATAGGGAAATGGTGCAACCCATCTAGACAGCGAAGCTGTACGAAAGCCTTATAAACAAACTCACTCAAACAAAATGGAAAAACGTGGAAACATAAAGTTAGAGAGAAAAGCGAATATATCCCCCACGTATTAAAATCTATCAGTTCAGAGAGTTTTAATTATAAACAACATTAGATATCTGCAAGATAATTGAAATTTTTTATAATATACAAAAATACTTTTTGAAGAATCTATTATCTGTTTTTGACATGTCTCCACTAAGTATTGGCAATCAATCCCTTGTAACTTCATTCCTATACTATACATACGTCCTATATCAGACCTCAAGGAATGTATGTATAGTTATGGATATTTATTCCTATACTATCCGTAACTATACATACATTCCTTGAGGTCTGAATTACAAATCGGTGAAGGTAGCAGGGAAGCCTCCACTGTTTAGTCAAACCCCGGTTACCATCAATATCACATAATACACAGAACATGAACGTTTTTCAAAAAATATTACAATATGTCATCAAATAAATACGTCTCACTGAATTTTCTCAAATACTTTTCCATTCGATAAACAAATATTTATTAATGATTCGAATACCTTTCTTATTAGAGCCCCTGACACAGAGCTTCCCAGAAACATAACTTAAAACGGCTCCCTTGGGAAGGCTCTCAGGCCTCTCATTGCCAAACACATCCAAATATGCCCGACCCATGGAATGTCATCAGTTCTTAAAAAAATAACTTCTCTATCATTTAATCAAAATGTTATTATCATGCAAACATCTGAGGGCTCGCACAGAAGAGTATCCGCGCATATAAAAATTTAAAAGGTATCTGAAAACATTCTTTAATCCATCTTAATAAGAAATAAATGGCAATGCGGTCAGCCTGGTAAAGGAAATTACACTCATGTCCATAAATTAAGGATAATTCGGAGTCACGCGGAAATCGAACTCTAAAATAAATATATCACCT